CAACTTGGCTGCGGCCCAAGGGGACTCAAAGGGCACACGGCACAGTCCTGCTGCACGGGGCCAGGCCTGAGATGCCAAGCGCAGCCAGCACAAGCTCGCGCGTCCCCTGAGGGGTGCGAAGGGAACAGCCCTGGGGGGCCGCACTGATCCATTCCTATAGGCTGCTACCTGGCCAGGAGTCGCCCCCAGGCCCTGCGTGGCTCGGTGCTGCACAGACAGACCCATCTCAGGCAGCGGGATGAGAGATTTGTGCAGGGGACACTCCAGACCCAGGCAGGCTCCTGGGAGTCTCTCTGGAGGATGCAGGCTGCCTGGAGCCACCTCCTCTGACTCCCAGCTGCTCACAGGCCCCGGTCCCCAGCCCTGGTACCACAGGGCACCTGCAGTGAGGGTCTCCCACCCCGAGGTGCCTGCCTGGCACTGGGGGATTTTGAGGGCTCAGCACCCAAGCCAGGGGAAACGCTGCAGGCAGGGCTGGGCTGGGGGACCCCCTCCCCCCAGCCTCCTTCAGAACCTTGTCTGGATCTCCCGGCGCCAATAGCCTGCGCAGCACCAGGATCTGGGAGGGGAGGGGCAAGGACCATTCCTGGGGCCACGAAGCCCCTGGCCTGGCCCAGCATGTCCCTCTGGCTGGGCCCTTCCAGGGCACCGCGTAGGGGCTGTTTACGAGAGCAGCTGTGATGCAGAGCTGGGGGAGAGCGCCAGGAACCCGGGTCTTCCCGCCTGCAAAGCCGTGCCCCTCGCGGCACAGAGAAAACATTCTGTGCTCTCCTCCTGCCCCAGCGCCCGGCGCCCCTCCCCAGAGCCACAAGCCAGGGGAATTGCTGCAGGCAGGGCCGGGCTGGGGGCTGCCCCCCAGCCTCCTTCAGAACCTTGCCCGGATCTGGGGGGCTGCCTCCCCAGCCCCTACCCAGGGGAGGGCAAAGAGCTCAGCAGGGTGGGATGGGCGGGCTGTGGTAACCCCCTGCACCCCAGTTGAACAGCCTGGGCCATGCCCACAGGTTGCAGTTCGGCCAATTGGTTCTGTTGGGGATCTAGTTCATTGGGGGATGCTAACGGGGAAGGAAGGAGCAGGCAGCTCCCAGGGGGTTCTGGCACCGACTGGCTTCAGCTCTGTGAAGCTGGAGGGGGCAGCGGCTCCTTTGCCACCTTCCTGCGGGAAGGGCAAGTCCTGGAACCTGAGCACCAGCCCAGAGGCTGCCAGGAGGCCCTGGGCCCAGAGATGGAATGGCAGACCCGCCGGATCCCCTGCGCAGACACCCAATTGGCAAGTGGCAGGTGCCAGCCTATGGAGGGACTGGAGCTTTATCAGTCTGAGAAGCTGCCCCTGGGACTCAGCCCCTTCCCACTAGGCATTGCAGCCACACTCCCCAGCACCAGCGTGGGGCCCTTCGACCAGCAGCACCGATGCAGTCCAGGGGACTTTGCATTCAGCAGAAGGGGGCCGGGAAGACACAAAATGGGGGGATGGGCCCTTCACCTTCACACTGACGCGCTGGGATGCAAGCGGGGCAGCTGCCAGCACTCACAACCCCCCGCCTAGCCGCACCAGGCAAAGCCTGTGTCACACCAGATCACAGGCAAGTTCCCTGCCAGGGGAGGGCTAGTCACGGTTTCACGGCTGGATGCCTCACACGAGGCGTCTCCAAACTGTTACCCCCCCCCCCAAGGGGGGCCGGGAAATTCCTGGATTCCCCCCTTCCTGCTCCCAAAGAATTTCCTGTTTGCTCAGTGCACCGAGACATCCCGGTGACTTCACTTCCCAGACGCGGGGGGAGGAGGCTGCCGAGAAGCGATCCAGAAGCCAAGGCTGGCGGGTGAGGAAATGTTCGGAACGACAAAGCTTCATTGCACATTTTATTGAGGTCACATGAAAACCAGAACATTTAAAAAAAAAACCAAGACACAGAGCCTCTTAATACTGGATATAGCAGCAGGCCCAGAGATCAGGCCAAGGGCATTAAATAGAACCAAAAAAGGATTAAAAAAAATAATTTCTCTCCAGGGCGCGTGGTTAAATAGACATAAATAGACCCGGGGATGGGGGGGGGCGTCCAGCCAAAAATCTGGACAGAATGAAACGAAGACAAAGTCTTCTGCTGTGCTCCCAGCAGGGTCCCACTGTGGCAGGAGAAGCTGGGCTGGAGGAGGCGCGCT